ATATGTATGTGTGTGTGTGTGTGTGTGCATAATATTATTGCTGGCGGAGCAATAAATAAAACCTAATTAATAAAATCTTCACAAGTTTTCCGCTCATTTTTTTAATTAATGTAAAAATATTGCATTTTACATTAATAAAGTGTAATGATAATTTTAAACAAATTTATTATATAATATTACTATTAATACAAATTGATTATAATTTTACATTAAATAGTATGCGGAAGTTACATACTTAAAAAATATTTTATTGCAAATTTTTTCTTTAAAATAATTTTTCTAAAATAAAATATATTTTTGTCTTTTTAAGCGATTTTTATCTAATTTTGGTTAATTGGCATGAGTATCATAATTAAACACCTTACAATCACATAAACAATTGCTATAACAATAATAAAAATAATTATAATACTTTTCTAACTAATTAATTTTATGGTCCCTCTAAATTACAAAATTATATTGTCCATTAAAATTCATGACATCAATATAAAGATTCATTAAATAATTTGTAATTTTATTATACATTCGCATAATAGTCAAAATTTTAAATGTAAAGCGCCCATTATCTTTATAAACATTTAAATATTGTATACATATAAATTTCTGTTTTTCTTTGTACATGTGGACAAGATGAATACTAGTATCATATACCGTGAAGAGTAAAAATATATTAAAAAAAGTGATTACTAAAAAAATGGTCCCCCTTTTTATTTTCACAATATTACCAATTTTTACAACCTTCAACGTTTTACTTTCCCTCATACCAGAGCAAGAAAATGTAGTTGGTTGGTCCAACAAAGTACAACGTACAATTTATTTACTTCAAAAGATATTTGACCGTGCTATCGAGGGCAGACAAGCTATTTTGCCTTAAAACCTTACGTAATTGTAGAAGTGACGAATAAGGGTCGAACCAAAAGACATATTAAATATTGCATTTATTAAAACAATTAATTAATTTAAATAAACAAAGAACAAATATGGAGAAGAATATTGATTGATACAAATTAACAACTAAAGAAAACTAATTGACTTAGGTTAAAACTAAGAACAAAATATGAATTCAAGTTATGAGAAAGGTCCAATTCTTGTAGGGTTGTTCATTTGCAGTTTTCGACAAAAACGTTAACCATATTGCAGGCTTCGGATAAAAAACGAGCAGTTCTTACCTCAGTACTGCAGGTAGATTGAATTTACTCTTGGTTAGTTGCTTTATGCAGCTGATGACATGACAAACTATATCACCAAAGTGCACTTGAATTGTTCCTAGAGATGTTGCGGTTCTCATCATTAAAAAGAAAAAAAGACACAAAAAAAGTTACACAAATTGAGTTAAAAAAAGATGGATATATGGAAGCTTTATTTATATGCATGCATTAATTTAATTTAATTTATGGGAGATTCTATAGTTTCTTTACAGAATTATTTCGTCAGGGTTTGTAACCGTGAGATCAACTATCCACGACGGTTACATTACGATCTAACGATTACAAATTCCAACAGAATTGTTCCGTAAAGGGACTCAAGCATTTCCCTTAGTTTATATATAAATATGAATTTAGAGACGGGAAAAAATGTGCAATTTAATTACATAAATATGAATAGACAAAAAGTGTGGAGGCGTCACGTTTGGAGATGGGCAAAGTGCACGCATTTATCACCAAAAAGGAAAGTGGCTAAGAGAATTTTGTCTAAAGGAATTTCGAAGCTAAATGAAACCAAATCATAATAAAAGCGACTTGGCGTCTAGCGCAAATCATTTTTCTTTAAACAAAATAAATAGTTGTGCCATGCTGGTTTTTTTTTTTGTTACAGGGACCTTCCGATTTTCGGATCCACAGGGGAACCGATTAATCTGGAATCGAGTCGAGTAGGACTACAAGGGCGGCAAAACTTTCCCTCAAGAGTTTTTAACACTGCTGCATTCTCAGGGCTCGAACACGAGACCACTGGTTAAGTTAGAAGAGACTCAAACTATCTCATCCAAGCGCTCTTGGGTGTTGTGCCATTGTTAAGTAAAATATAAAATATGAATACTTTGATTACTATCGATTGGCATGACAGGCAATAAGTAGCCCAACCATGACAGTCAATGTGTTGCTAAAATTGTAAAAATATTCTTTAATTTAAAATTAGTCATATTTTACAATAACATATGTAACAAAAAAAAAAAAAAGCAATTTTAGCAATTTTTGATGACTGTATGTGATAGTCTTGATGATTTCATAGCAAAACTATAACTATATACATATTAAGAGAAAAGTAAGATTAAATAAGCATATTTTATAAGTATAGTCGACTACTCCTCTCTTGGTTTTGAAATGAAACCTCATTAAAGTACATATAAGATCACTCTTCTTATGATGAGCTTTATTTGGTGGGACCACACCCTCTTCCCTCGATTCTGAAATCAAATACATTATACATACAACTCAAATCTTGTGAAATTTATTTAAAATTATTGTCTAAAATAGCGTTTGAATATAAAAACATGTACATTTTTGTTAAGAAGAGAAATATTCTTCACATAACATTGTTCAAAATCAATGATTAAACAATCAAATCAAACATGTATTTCATAAAAGTTTACTCAATATTTGACCAAATTGTGTCAGACTAACCTCATCAATACCAAGAAAGGACAAAAATACTAATGCAAGCACATTCTATGGTATATAGAAAATGAGTACAGAGACTTGAAATGATTCCCTTAACAGATCCAAGTCAAATTTCATCATACTCTTGAAAAATATTTTCATAAAACAAACTCTAAATTTTCAATTGTATACCATAAAATAAAATTGAAAATTCTCCCAAATCCATACAATATTTTATATTCATGCAAAATCAGATGTGCCCCACCCAAATTTCAGTGATGAAAAATAGAATTTTGAGGAGTGTTTTTGAACTCTCTCTCTCTCTCTCTC